TGCCCGATCGGGGACGGGGACGGGGACGGGGGCGGGGACGAGGACGGGGACGGGGAGGATGCCTGCCCTCCCCAGAGGGGGAGCCGGGGAAGGGGCAGCCAGCAGTGTGGGACCCGGGTGGAGAAAGAGGGAGAGAAAAGCCCCCCCACCTGCCAGCCCCCGGCTTTCCCTTTCTCTGCCGCTAAGTTTGAGCGTAGGGTGGTTTATATTTCTGTTTGACTCCATCTGCTCCTCGCCAGGATAAGCACGTAACGTATAGTTGCTCAAGAATTGTGATTAAGTTCAAAATTGACCCCCTGCTTTAATTTAAAGAGAAAAAACAAACAAACAAACAAAAAAAAACCCCAACCAACCCACAACAAAAACCCAAAACCCAGCCTGTCCAGCTAATGGCATCAGCTGCCCCACTCTGCAGGCTTAAATCATTCAGCTTGGACTTGGGTTCTGTTAACCCTGGAATAATTTGGCCCAGATCAAGTTACCAGATGCTTGAAGATGGCTACAGGAGCATCAGATAAAAGCTTTTCTGTAAGACTAAAGTGTTCAAAGCTTGCTGTGCAGGCATAGAAAAGATTTTTTTTTTAAAAGTCTTGAGTGTTAAGTTGCTAAATGCAAATCCACGACACAATGAAACCTGTAAAGCACACCCGAGTCAGAACGTAAGGTCATGTACAACACAAATGTGATACTGTGACATTAGCTGGGCCTGCTGTATATGGTTTTTAATATGTGCATTATGCCGCTGTAAAAAGCAACACACTGGAAAGCTAAGCAGCAAGGTGGTTTTATGTACAAGTAGTTTTCATCTGCTTCTTGGGAGACAGCAAATGTTGAGGGGGCAGGGAAGGATAAAAGCAAGAAATTTTTTTTCAGAATTTGTTTTCAGTTGCTAATGTGCCTTGTGAAGTCAGTGGCAGGGCCTGAGGACTTCAGTGGAGTGAGTGACTTTTCCCAGCGCTCCGCAGTTTGTATTCCTGCTGGTTGCATGCAGGTGGTACTGGACCCCGCTAACCAGGGACAGAGGAAAGGCTGCGAGCCCCGAGTCCGTGGGGCGTGTGGGGCAGGCGGGTGTCCTCAGCCTCTGCCTGGTTTCCCCCTCTGTGACAGCAGTGGAGGGGACAGCTGTGAGTTTAGAGGACGCCCTGGTGTTGTGGTTTAACCCCAGCCAGCAACTAAGCATCATGCAGCCGCTCCCTCACTTCCCCCCTGTCATGGGATGGGGAAGAGAATTGGGGAAAAAAAAAAGTAAAACTTGTGGGTTGAGATAAAGTGGTTCAGTAGAACAGAAATGAAGAAAATAATAATGATAATAATAATAAAAGGATTGGAATATACAAAACAAGTGATGCACAGTGCAATTGCTCACCAACCAATGCCCAGTTAGTTCCCAAGCAGCAATCCACCCACCCTGGCCAACTCCCCCCAGTTTATATACTGGGCATGATATCACATGGTCTGGAATACCCCTTTGGCCAGTTTGGGTCAGCTGTCCTGGCTGTGTCCCCTCCCAACTTCTTGTGCCCCTCCAGCCTTCTTGCTGGCTGGGCATCAGAAGCTGAAAAATCCTTGACTTTAGTCTAAACATTCCTTAGCAACAACTGAAAACATCAGTGTGTTATCAACATTCTTCTCATACTGAACCCAAAACATAGCACTGTACCAGCTACTAGGAAGACAATTAACTCTATCCCAGCCAAAACCAAGATATCTGGTCCTGGCACGCCTGACAGCCATCCCACCAAGCCTTAATCCTCCTGAATTACCTTTTGCGTCACTCTGAATCACGCATCTTTTTTTAAACAGAATTGCGGTGGCTTTTCTTACAAGACACCCTTCGGTCCCGTAAATTAATTAAGCTCGGCTTGTTCGTTTAAGAAGCACCCCTACAGTTTGCACGGTGTGCTCCAGTTATTGCAGTGCAGGCGGTAGCATGGCGACAGTGGGAGCAGACTGTGGGAGAGCACAGGCTGCCTGGTGATCCCAGAGCTGGGCTCATTAGTTACCAGTTGCTGAAATTAGGCTTTGCTGCCTGGGATTTCCTTGGGAAACACCCCATCTCAATACCGACCCCCAGAGTTTTCTCTTTCAGGAGATGTTTTCCTCGTTGCAGCTGTGTTGAAAGTCTTGTGAAGTGCTCCGGCTCCATTTTAATATATGTGTTTGTTTTAAAAAGCTGTGTACAGAAGTTATACCTGCTAACCAGAACAAGGTTTTAGTTACCTTACAGAGTCTTTGCTGGATTTAAAGCCATCAGTTATCAGAACAGGCAAACATTAGAAAGATCTGTGTACACGTAAACTCCAGAAGCAGTAGCATATGAGGAGAAATTTTGGTTTATTTATTGTTAATGTTAGTAGGCAATTCTTCCTGACTCTGCAATTAACTTTGAGCAATAAACCAATGGAAAGCTTGTAAAAAGCTCTGCAGGGGGATAATGATTACTTAATCCTGTCTAAGGAGATCTTAATGGAAATAATATGAAATCATATTATATTTAAAATGATTCCTTAAGGACAAGACAAAGCTCGGGAAAGTCCCTAGCAAAGATTATTTGATTTCAGGAAACAATGGATTATGTCATTAAAACGCCTCTTCCATCTGTTTTCTAGCGTATGATGTTCCACCTCTTTCCTTTCAAAGTCTCCTGTACCAGGTTGCCCCGGTAAGATTTTTAATCAGTGGGGGAAAAAAAATGTATCTGTTTGCCCCTTGGTTCCTTCCAAACGGGAGGATTTCCAAATTAACTCTGGCATCCTACACAGCTTGAAACACCCTCGTGTGGTGTAAATGAAGTATTGAATAGCTTGCTATTGTCAAACAGACGACTCGCAGATGCCAGGGCTTGGCTTAAAGAAACCAGCAAAGGCGAGAGAGAGAAAAGCAGGTAATAATATATTGATGTGAACTGACACCGAGTCTATGAGTGGTGGACAGAAGAGGGGGAGAAGTCAATATTACAAAGGGTATATCATATGAGAGACATCTACCTATTTGCAGTGGACTTAGGACGTGCAAAAAGCGCTGTGATGGTCACGGTGTTTTTCTGACTTGATGTAAAATGGGAAATGAACACTGCTATTTGGTCTACTGCACTTGAAGAAGCAATGTTTTAAATGCAGTGATGTCTGCAGAGCTTTGTGATTGAGTGTGTCTGATGGTTTTAAATGTTAAATAATTCCATTACAGTCAGGGTAAAAATGGTAATGAACAGCTTGGCAGAGTCTGAGTACACTTACATGAAATGTTGAGCAATTAGCTTCTCTGTGAGAGTGAATCCTGTGGTTTTCTTCTCATCAGTAGCAAAGTGACCTTTAAAATATGTGGATGACACAGAAGCCGTTTCAGTAACTTATTTCATCTATTGTCTGCTGATAAATTGCATGTAAGAATTTGGAATTTACATGGCACAGTAGATTTTGGACTGAAATGGATGATTTTGAAAACATTAACTGAAAGCTTTTTAATGGTAGCAATGCACCCTGTTGAATAATGGGATGTATGTTATTAGGATATTCAACGTGGTAAGGAGGAAGCGGCTAAGCTTCCTGTAGCACTTGATGTTACCAACTTGTTTTCAGTTGCTTTAAACCACTTTTAAAGTTCATTGTTCTGTCTTTATATTCTGTATATGGCAGCCCAAGAGCCACGTGTTAAAAATGAAATAACACATTTGTGTGTTTGGAATTGGCTAACAGCAAAACCCGTATGCCTCTTAGTGCTTAAATAGCACCAGCCTGATCCGCACAGCTCATCTTTTTACTACGAATTTGAAAATAGGAGCGTTAGGGGTGTGCTAGATTTTCTGGGCTGCCCGTGACATTGGCTTGTGCTCTGCACCAAGGCACAAGGGAATAGCTGAGCTCTTTCAGTAAATGCACGAGACATAAATATGGCTATATAATCCATGGGGAAAAATGGATAGTAAAGTTCTAGTCAGGCCATCCTCACTGCTGAAAGTGATTTATATATGAGTGCTCCAGCAACATGGAAAAATAAAACAACCTACTGGCCTTGATATAGAATTTAAAAAAATGTCGATCATATGATGTTTTTCCTGCCTGCTTAGGCATTCGTTTTTGTAGCCACTTAAACACATGCTTGAAGTGGAGCATTTGAACAGTCTCAAGTGACCAGACCCTATATAATTTGTGGGTTTAGTCTGCAGAAAATAAAATTGTATTATTAATGCACATTTGTTCCCTCTGGCCATCGCAATTAATGCTCATCATTGCAGGGTTTGGTACTGATTACAGAATAAAATTATAGAGTTTTGTGGAGATGGAAAGAGGTTGAGGTTTTGGGGAAAGGAACAGGCAATTCAATGCTCTGCTTTTCTAGAAAAGCACAGGAAGGATTTTTGGACCATAGGAAAGTTCTGCTAGTGGTTACTGCTGGCAAGTATCTGTGCATCGCATCTGATGCTCACAGCTGAAGTCTCACCATGCAGTGCTGAATGGATGCATCTCCTCCTTCCCTTATCATTCTGGTTTTGGGATGTTGGCATCCACCACAGTCTAAATGTCCTTTGCAGTTTGGAGGTCTAGAAACCATCTTAACCACAAGAGCCGGGGCATATTCATGCTGCACATCATAGCCTGGGGATGCTGAAACTAGCCGTGAACAAGTGAGAAAGTCGCTGCGCTTTGGTAGCACTGAAATACCCAATGCTGTCACATGCTCCAGTACTACTAAAAAGTGAGGGCAAAGGGTCAGAGACTTTTGGGAGGCTGTGAAGGGAGCAGGTTTGAGAGTCCCCCTCTGGCTTTAGCCCCCCTCTTTTCTAGCTGATCTGATGGCAGAGGACTGCTAAGACCTGCTCTCATGGTAGAGGTGATTAGACTCCTTTTCCCATACCAGAGCACACCCTACCTGTTCCCTTTGAGACTCTGCTGTGTCGTACACACTCCATCTTCTTTATGTCATTTGAAAGATGGGAAACGCAGGATGGGGCCTGGCAAGGACACCAAGAGAGCCATGTCAACGGTCAGCCTTATAGTTTTGGCTCTAGACTACAGCTTCAGTGTTTACAGTTTCACTGACCACGGTGAAGTACTGCCCCAGAGACACAAAGATGACCTGAGAACATATCAACCTCAGTGAAATGGCTACCCCTGTACTGCAAAGCTTTCCCATCCTGGAAAGCCACACTGTGAAACAGCCGTGGTTGTCAACCGTGTTGAAGGAATTCACACACTCTGATTTGCTGGGCGGTCCCAAGCTGCGATGCTGGGAATGTGAGAAAGAGAGTGAAGTGACATAAAGTAGTCATTTCAAGGAGATAAACTTGCAGGGATACAGACTGCAGGTCCCACATAACAATCCATCTTTCGGTTGAAGATATAAGTTTAATTACAAGAGGAAATGTTTATGATCCCATATGTATGGCTCTGAATAGCGTGGCCCGCTCTCTCCTACATCAGAGGCAAGTGCACTAGGCGGTCTTAACGGGAAGGGGAAGAAGGGCTGCAGGACAGTTGAATGCAGGCCAAACCTACCCTCATGTTCCTCCTTGAGCGTGAGGAGTCCTAGGTCAGGAGTGCTTTGCGAAAACCTGTTATAGAAATTGCACTATTTTTAAGATTGTTCAATATGAAAGCTCTAAAAGCCAAATGTCTTTCTTTGCTTCCTTGAGAAGGAAAATGCAGGTCTATGGAAGGAGATGAGATAGATTCTGGTTGTATGAGGTGAAAATACATAGTTAACATATATGTATTTACAGTTACATTAAGTTTATGTATACTTTATAGTTCAATTAGCAGTTTTACTGTGTATTAACGAAAGCATTCTGTGAATAATGTGCAAACTTTAATAGGCCAAGTGAAAAATATCTGTTTATTTAAAAAATACAGACAAAACAGAGCATTTCTGAAATATATACCCTCGGTATTTAGTATCCAGCCTTTAGTAATTTGACAGTGAAAAATTACCTTTCAGAGCACTCTTTGGGGTTTTTTTTCACTAGCATGTGGTGGAGTAGACCTCAGTGTTGTATGCCTGGTCATCTCTATGTCCTCCGTGAAGAGTAAGGAAATACTATGTTTGTACATATTTGTAAGAAGCAGTTAAGAGAACTTGCTCACCAAGCATTATCCTTCAAAGATATGTAATAACTCAAGGGAGAAACAATATATCTTAGAGGATCCATTCTGCGTATCACAGCAAATCCAGAAATTGTTTTGGACACAACACTTTACCCGACAGCTAAATGCAGCCTAAGGCAGAGCGTGAGACTGTCAGGGAAAGGGAACTGGTGAAAGAGCAGGCGGAAGGGATTGAGGCTGCCCTATCTTGCTCCTTAAATCTTCTGCCGTGGTGTTGACTCTTGTCAGGGGCGGTGCGTAAATTGCTCCAGCTAATACACTTACTAACCAGTCAACGTCATAAAACCGTGGCGTTGGCCCTCTATATTGGGGGCGGCTTCTCTGGCGCTACAGTAGAGCGAGTACCCGAATCCAAGCTCCCCGTCGTCCCTGGTACAGGCAGGGGACCGTGGAGGACAGTTAGGCCCTCGGCTAACCTCGACAGACCTCCAGTGCCAGCCCGCGCCGTTACCCTCCGCCTCCTCCGACCCGGGCAAACGCCACGCCGGTTCCACGGGTCGGGCGCCGCAGAAAGAGAAGACGAGCGGCGGCGGGGGACGTTCGGAGCCAGGGGCCCC